TCTGGATCTCATCTCGGTGGTTATTTTTCTTACAGAAGAAGAGCAACTGAGTTAGAACCTCTTGACACTTTAATGAGAGTGTGGTTTATTTCCTGGCACTGACTTTGTTTGATGATACAGATAGCAAAGCTTTGCTTTTGCACAACAGCTGTCAAGAAAAGGCCATTTCACATTCTCAAACATCTCTATCCTTCCAATAATGTCCAAGATGCACTCCTGGAGCAGATTGAGTATCTGGGAGGGAAAATAGAGATGGATGTGAAGAAGAAGAAGGGAACTTGAGTTGTTTTCTGACGCTGACGCTCCATTCAGTTGTTTCCTGTTTTGGCACTGAGTACATGGCTACAAAACAGCAGAAGTAGAATGTTCCTGCCAGCAGCTCTGAACTTCTTCTGTTATGGGTCATAAATTTCAAGGACAAACTATATTTTGAACTTACTGAAATTTGAGAAGTCTCATGTAATTCTTTAACCTGATACTAAAGTTTAGCTCTTTGATTTCCCTGTCTCTGCTGCAACATTCAAAAGAAGCAGAACTGAAAAATCAGTTTTTACCCATTGCAGATGACACTGAAGCAATCCAAGAATCTGAATTGTGCAGTATTGCTGTGGTTTATTGACAGCAGCGCCTTCCTTGTGGGAACACACAAAATAAATGTGCTGGTAAGGTTTGGGAGTGACACAGGTCAGAGGATTTCTGCCTCCTGGAAGCACAGAGCCATCCAGGTGCAGGTGTTAAATGGAGTTTTACAGTGTGCAGTTATCTCCCTGATAGAGAGGGAGCAATAAAGGGCTGCAGGCTTTGCTGCCAGAAGCCTCTGGGTGAGGGATGTTGGAGCTGGGCAGTGGTGAGACACGGTCTGTAATACCTGCTAGCTGTGATAAATGCACCCTGGGGAAAAGGAGCCCGCTGTGCCCGTGTTGATATGATTTAATGGGGCAGCCCTGGCCAGTTTACATTCTCCTGGGGGGTTATTTCCGTGCTCCCAGCAGCTGACTGGTGTCACAAACCCTCTGACACCGCTGTGCCACAGCCTGGTCACGGTGCCAGGGCAGTGCTGAATTAGCAGGGGGCTTTCTAGGAAACCGTGTTGCAAGTGTGTGATTTCTTCTTTATTTATTTATTAATTCTAACCTCCTGTAATAGTGGTGTTGAACTTTAAACAAGCCTGTCCTTTCCTCTCTGTGCTGCTCGACCTCAGGAAGAAGCTTGACACAGCAAGCAACTGGTTTCTTTTATTTTGAGGGAGATTGATAAGCAAATCAATACTACCATATCTTAGTTGAAAGCAAAACTAGGAGAGCAGATAAAATGTTTTTAAAGGGTATTAAAATCCACATTTATTTCACTTAGCTGGCCAAAATTCTGCAGCTGCTTCTTAAGATTTATGTAGTGTGATGCAACACTCTCTTCATTTATCTGTTCTTTAGATGACCTTCCTCTTACCTACAAGTTATATCCTCATTTCTTGTTCTTGCCCAAATATCCTAATGTAAAGCTTAATGTAGGGTAAGAAATCAAATCTTCCTTGTCAAAGTGGGTTACTTGAGCAGTTGTGTGCTTTATATCTTCATCAAGTTCTTTTGCTGGGGAGTGAGTTCAGGGCCTCAGGTTGCTCTCTCCCATGCTGAATCTGAAGACCTTTTCCCATTTGTGTAAAGTAGGTGTTTGTTGTGGATCTCTTGGCACTTTTGCTCTTCTCTCAGGTCTTTGCAACCTCATTGGATCCTAGGGGGATCTCCATTCTGAAAGTGACATCTTGGGAAAAAAGCACCTTCCACTTGATTTTATTGTAACTTTCTACTCTTCCACCTTTTCCAGCTCTATCATGTGTCACCTTTTTTCTTCAGTGTCAGCTTTAAGAGGAAAACCTGTTTTTTTAAGCTACAATTACTATTTAAAAAAGTCTTTATATAAATTTTGTGAATTGCTCTCCATAGTGTGAGTGCCTCAGTAGATGGATTAGGAGCAGTTCTGTAGCCCCTGATAAGATCTTGGCATTTGCTGCTTCCTGTAGGAGCAGAACTGCTAAAATGCCAGTAAATTGTTATCTGTGAGTCTGGGCTGCTCCAGGGTTTATGGTGCAATTAAAGAGTGTGATCAAACTGAGCCCTGCTGCGAGGGAGGGAGGGAGGCTGCTGAAGCTGGAGATGTTGAGGCTGCACCTTTAGTTCCTGTTTTAACACTGGCACACAAATCTACACGGTGTGCTCGAAGGGCACCTCTTCCTGTGGTCTTAATATTTACTTGGAGATTTTGAGGTGCATCTTGTCTTTGTGGCCCTCCTGCTGGTGTCTGAGCAGGATGGGGAAGGTGAAGCCCAGTGCGCTGTTGTGCTCAGAGCTGCGGGAACTTCCCTTCAGTAGACTTCCTCTTTCCACCCCTGAAGTATTTGGGGAGAGGGTTTAAAACCAGGAGATGAGTGGCATGAAGTGACTCATGCTCCAAACCCAAAGCATTTGACTTTGGAAAAGTGGCTTCAGTTCTGGCCCTTCCTCTTTAAAGTTTTATATTGCGCGACCTTTTAAATGAAATGTCGAGCTTCCTTTTTGACACGCAGGATCTCTGCAGTGTGGCTGGGTGTGATTCAAGAAGGTGTTTTGTAACTTCAGAAATCCCTGCCTTCATCAGCTACCTTGGGTTCTTGTGACATCTCTGGCTTCAGGTTGCTCAGAGCACAGTTCCATGCTGTGGATGTCTGCTTTCCCCAGCAGGGAGACCTCGTGGTGCTGTTGTGGCCGTGTTCTGAGGCTGCCCTTAGAGCAGTCAGTGGTGTCAGTGAGGATGGACTCCAGCACTGTTGGACCCACACAGCTCCTGTGGGTGACTCCTGTGCCCACTGCCTTGTTTCTCTCCTGCCATTTTCTCTGTTGAAGGCAGTTGTGTTTCCACTAAAGTCAACTTCATATCCTGGATGCCACCTTGGATGATAAATTTTCTTTGGTCACTTTAGATGTTCTAGCAACTTCTGTATCCAAAAAAACCCAACCAAAACTCCAAACTTCTTTGCTCCCACGGTGCTGAGGAGAGTGAGGAGAGTGTGTGTGCTCTGTCTGATGTGCAGGCACGCCTGCTCTCCAGGATTTTCTGTTTCACTGTGTTCTCACACTCAGAGTGAAGTGCTGCTGCTGGCTGGGCTCTCACACGAGGCAGCAGCTTGCCTGTTGCCATGTCTCCATCCCTCTTTTGTTACCATCCCACCCCCATCCCGTGCTTTTTCCTGTTTCTCGAAACATGCTCCAGAAATACACTGCTGTTTTTAAATAGGCTGCTGAAGGCACACGAGTGACTGCTTTCTTTCCATTTTCTCTGTGCCTGTGGGAGTTCAGCATCTCCTAGAACTCCATTATTCTCCAAGTACCATGGCATCTTGAAAAGGATCTGATATTTGCTGGTGAGGTAACAGCCAGCTCTCTATTCCCTGCACAATAAATTGCCACTTTCAATTCCTGAAATACTCAATATTGCTGTTTCAGTCTGTGGAACTCCTGGGGACTGGCAGTAGTTTGTGTGTGCACATACATGTGGATGCTTCAGTGTAACATCTTTGTATTAGAGTTCCTTTGTATAATTCCATTTCTGTAAAGAGGCACTTGATCCACTTAGTTTTAAAAGAGGGGACATTTTTTTTTCAAATCTGTTAATGCTGTGAAATGAAACTGTGTATTAGTGTTGCTGCTAAAATAGCCCAATATTTACAGAAAAATTCCTTGGGGATCTTGGTTTGGTTTGCATTTTGATGCTTTTATAATATGAATCCTAAGAGGGAGGGGGGAGCTGTGTTGGTTTTGTGTGTTAGGGATTTTCAACACACATTTGGGAAATGTGGTTAGTGATCTAGAAAACCATTTTTCCCAGTTCCCTGTTTTTTTCTCATGTTAGTCTTGTACAATCAGTACAGAAGAATAAATCCCTGTAAAGTACAAAGTTACCAGCCTTGTGTCAGAGACAAATTTCTGAAAACACCCATTTTAGCTGCCTCATGTTTGAGATATTAGACTGTGGCAGTCCAGATCATGTTCTCCAGACTGCATTCTTCATAAGCAGAAATACTGGCAGCCATGTGCTCAGTTATAAAAAGCTGGCAGCTGATGTCAGCCCTTATTTCAGTTTCGGAATACTGTGCTAATTTTGGGCAGGTTTATGTAAATCAGAACTCTTCTCCTGACATGTAGCATTCAGGGTAAATTGGTACATAGCTGAATAATGCAGCAGAAGAGATAAACAGATAATGTGCTGCAGTGGATGGCCCACTTGAAAAAATCTGAAGGGTTGTACATGATTCTTTATATGCAGAACTGTGCTTACACAGGATTTATTTATGATGTGAAATTCTGTTTCAGCAAATTGGGACTAATGTCCAAGGACATCAGAATTCTTTTTTACTTCTGAAATTGTCTGAAATAGCTGAGCTATTATGTACATCTGAACAAACCTACCTGGGAGAACCCTGGTGATCTGTTGGAGATGCTGCATCTGTTTCAGCTCAGCTCATGAAGTGAGCTCATGAACTGACTTTTACCATTGCAGCTCTGTGACATCTTGCTGAAAACTCAAGATAATGCTGAAAGTGGTCTCAGACAAATCACCTCTGTGTGTGTGTGATGCCAAGGAGGGTAGACAAGTTCTTTTCTCCCACAATGGTTGTTTTCACTGCTGCTGAGTCAGAAGCAGGGTTGATATTTTCACTGATGCTGCAAACAAGGGCTTGAAGCAGTTTATGTGGGAGTGCTTTGGGGCAGAGACCCTGCTGCTTCAGGAGCTGGAAGGCTCCTGGCTGGTGGACGTTGTGCTACTTTATTATGCAAGCTAATAATATTTTTTAAATAATGTTAATGTTGTATTCTGAGAAATTTAAACTCAATTCTTAATCTGAGGCCCAAAGTCCAGAATTCCCTCACATGAAGATGTGAAATCAAATGGGTATCTGTCTTAAAATAGCTAATGGTGTGAAATTAGTTGGATTCATACCTAAAAGGATTTTTTTTTGTTTCAGGACATCAGGCATGAAGCCAGTGATTTTCCATGCAAAGTGGCCAAACATCCCAGAAACAAAAACAGAAATAGGTACAGAGATGTCAGCCCCTGTAAGTACACTTTCTTTTCCATTGTTTGTAGGAGTGTTGACCTCTAATGACTTCTCACAGCTAAATGTTCTTTGTAAGGACAAGATTCTGGTAGATTGATAAGCATCCAAGACAACTCTCTTTGTTATTATATTTATTTATTTGTGGGATTGGTATCACAGGATGCTTTTATGTCCATAGGGTTATACTAGAGCAGTGTACAGTAGAGTCTGTATTTGTGGGCAGAAATCTGAAGAAAGAAACTTGCTTTACCTTTGACTTCTTCTCCTAGAGAAGAATGGTGGCTGAAGTAGCATTTCTAAAGTTGCAGGGGTGGTTTCTGTGCAGTTCTCCCCCGGCAGAGCTCCTGCCAGGCAGCACAGGAGGCAGCAGTGCCCTTTCTGGGGGTGGGAGCAGCCTGGCACAGAGCTCTGCCAGAGATAAAGCCAAGCTCATAAACTCCATAGAGCAGAGAAGGGGCAGAGGTGATGCTGCCAGGCCACAGCTGGTTTTTTGGGATGGCTGTGTCCCCTGTGCTGGGGGAAGTGGCTCTCTGAGCACAGGTCCTGTGCAAGCACAGCTCACTGTGCTCTCTCCATCCCAGGGACAGGGACAGTCCCAGTGCCACCTGCCCACACCTGGCACCCAGGGCCAGGAATGGTGCTCCATGGATCTGGGCTGAAATAACATTTAATGCATCTGGTCAGAACTAAGATTTAATGGCTGTGATGCTGCAGGCAGCTCCCAGGAGGTCTCTGAGCAGCCTTCTCTGCACAGGACAGTGCCAGTCCTGAGCCACGTGTCCCCTCAGGGCACAGCACTCCCTGTCCCAGGGCACATGTCCAGCTGCTGTCCCAGGCCAGAGTGCTGCTCTGGGGCACACAACTTCTGCCTTGGTGTTAAAAGCTACTGAAGCCTTTGGGGCACTCGACCAGGAACAGTAATGTTGCACATAGTTTGCTTTACTAAGCAGTTCTAATATTTGAGGTTGTGAGTAACAAATTCCTTCTTGCCTTTAGATAATCCTGTTCCCAGTCTGTTTGCTTTCTTGCAAAATGTGGGAACCCGTGTGTGTACTGAGGTTTTTAGTTGGTGGTTTGGTTTCTTTAGTCCCAAGTTGAGCGAGGGACTAACAACAGAGCAAATAATTTCCATTTGCTGTATTTCTTGAATTTTGATAATTTTTTCTGTACATGAAAGAGTGTTTGGGGTGGGAACAGTGACTTAATGTCAGTAGGAGTAAAAGGTCTCTGTCCTGTTTGCCCGATATATGTTTAGACAAACCTTTAACAACCTTGAACAAGCTGTATTTGAATGTTTAAGCTGAAAAGATAAGCAGTTGTGTAATTAGATTTATTTTAAAGCAGCAACCTGATAAGTGTATAAATAGGTCAGTGTGATGGGGTTTGCAGATTGCAGTGGGGATTATTTCAGCTGCTTCACCCTTGCAGTGAGCTGAGGTTTCACGGTGGCTGTGCTGTGTGAGCCCTGCTGGGACTGAGCCCTTCCTTCCCCAGCACAGCTCAGCTCTGGCCCCAGCAGCTGCTGAGGGTGTGCAGGGATGGATTGTGCTGTGTCCATGTCACCAACCCGTGTTTTCTCCTTGTGCCGCAGTTGATCACAGTCGGATTAAGCTAAACCAAGGTGACAATGACTATATCAATGCTAGTTTGATAAAAATGGAAGAGGCCCAAAGGAGCTACATCCTTACCCAGGTAATGGCTGGCAATAGATAATAAAAATCTTATGGTGGCTGGAGTTGTTTTTCCTGGGTTTTGTGTTTGTTTTCTTTATTGTAAAGCTACTTAAGTGCATACAAACGTCTGTGTGTGTAAAAAAGTCACTGCTTTTCCCTGAATCTGTCAATTCCACACCTATCAAATGTAAAACAAATGTATAACAAATGTACAGGTACCCACATGCCCTGTTTTATTCTGAGAGCCAGCAACTGTGCCAGGGTTCTTGTTTGTCCTAAATGTTCACTTCCCTGGAGACTGTCCTGATCTCTAATCTTGGCTTTTTTTTTTTTACCCCTTCCTCCCACACACTTTAGATAAAGGTAGACTGGGATTAATATTTTCAAGTGACAGCTCTTCCTTCCTGTTTCTAAAGAATAAAGATAAATCTGCTCAGGAAGAAATGGGCAGAGCAGTGTGCAGCTGCCCTTACTCAGGGCAGGGGGTTCTCACTGGGGTGTGGAATTGTCTCACGTGCAGCTGATGCTGGTTCCTGTCCTGCTCCAAACTGAGGGGCTTTGAATGGCTTGGTTTAAATCCAGCCATTCTTTCTGAGGATCTGCTGCTCCATTTGAGCACAGAAATGGATCAAACCCAAACTTCAGAGCAATAGCTTTAGAGTAGAAAATAGCAAAGGAACATAGCAGAACTAGGAAGCTGTAAGGAAATCTGCTTTGGGAATAGATAGTCTTTAAAAGGAGCCACCATTTCATTCAGTCCCAAAGCAAATCTGTGAAGACTCTGGAAAACCATACAATTTGTTACTGATTCTGCATTCTTTCAGTCCTTTGGGTGTTTATCATTTAGTCAAGTAATTTTCAAGTATCATGGAATAGGGATTGAGGGATTGCAGGGTAGTTTGATACAGATGTTATTTTTACTTTCAGTCAGTGGGGTTTATTTCCCCATGACCTTTGTATACCTTTCCTGAGAAAATGCAGCATTTTTCACTCCCAGTTCTGGGGAGTAAAAGATTACCCATGCTTTCATGGGTAAATTCATAACCTGGAACTTAAAGCTGTCTCACTGCATTTTTTTACAGTTTTAAATGAGAAGTTTCTTGTTACTTGTTTGAATCTATTGCCTTGTTTCTGGGGAAAAATGCACTGACATTTACAGAAAATAATGCTTATTTCTGGGGATTCTGTCTCTGCAGGGACCTTTGCCAAATACTTGTGGTCACTTCTGGGAGATGGTTTGGGAACAGAAAAGCCGTGGTGTTGTCATGTTGAACAGAGTGATGGAAAAGGGATCCGTAAGTACTCACCCAGTTCTAGCTATGTGTTCATCACATTTATGGTTTTCTGTAATAAAAAACTCAAGTAAAACCAACCCAGAGAATGTGAAAATACTACTGTGAGTAGTTTTGTCTAAGAAATGGTGCCTGGAATTGAGTACCTGGTGAACTGATCTTACTGCAGTCAGAAAATCACTCACTTTGTAATTGTAGGCCCTAATTTCTCGTGAATTTGGCTAAATAAAACACAGACACAACATGAGTCCTCACAAATGGAGATCTCTGGTGCTAACCAGGGGGTCTGGAGTTGTTCTCAGTGCACACAGATGGCACCTCCCAGGGCTCTGCAGTGTGAAGTGGCTTTGCAGTAGAGAGAGAAGCTCTGGGGCTCCAGGTTTCCATCACACTCTGATCATGCAGTGACCCCCAAGGCACACCCTCCCCTCCAGGGTCACTGCTGTACAGAATAAAGTCTAATAATGTATAAAGACATTTTGGAGGAGGGCAGTGAGTGGATTGGTATCCACCAGGGATAACTGGGTGGTACACGCTTTTGCATCATCAGGAAAACAATTCTTGGGCTGTGTTTTAATAAACTGCAGTCTGGATTTGCTAGGTTTTGTATTGCAAGTGAAATTTATTCTTCAAAAGAGATGTAGTAACCGTATTTTTCAATAGTTTCTTCCTTTCCAACCATCCCTGATCTCTCTCTGTGCTGCTGTAGTTTTGAACAAAACAAATTATTGTGATCCCTTAGGGCAGTGCTTACACTCCTCAGCAAACAGCAGAGGGAGATTTAGAGTGCAGCACAACAAAATATTGTTTGCAGACACATTTGTGAAGAAATTAGACACAAAGGCAATTGCTGTAACTTTAACATTAATACAAATCCAAACAAAAAGTGCAAAGAATTATAACTGCATTCTACACCCTGATAAACAAGAGGATGTATTTTCAAAATGAACTAGAGTAAGTTTGAGCAAAACCACTGTTAGTCTACCTATGAGGAAAATGCTGAAGGGGTTTACTGTTCATTAAAATTATGTCAAAAATCATCTTAGTCTTGAGCCTGCTGTTGGTTTAACATCATTCTCCCACTTCTGGTTTGGCCACATTGTTTGCCCTAACAAAAGAGGCCTGGGCCGTGGTGCAGAGGCTTGGAGAGGGAAGGGGCAGGTGGTGATCCCAATGCCAGGGCAGAGGAGTGGCTCAGGACCAGCAGGAGGGGGCCAGTGCTCCCAGGCACAGCATCCACAACATTCTGACATTTCATTGGCACAAGCTTGGGTGCAGACTTTTCCTTTTCGTGCTGCTGATGAGCATTTTAGGTCCAGGTTTTTCCTGCACACTTCAAAATGTGCTGCTTTCCTATTTGGTTGCCTCAGTGAAGTCCCTGGCGTGCAGCAGTCTCAGCAGAGCTCATCTCACAAGTGGGCAATGACATTTCTGTGTCTCCTGCTTGGTTTTAGATAAAGTGTGCACAGTACTGGCCACGGAAGGAGAAGAAAGAAATGGTTTTTGAAGATACAAACTTGAAACTAACATTGATATCTGAAGATATAAAATCCTACTACACAGTACGACAGCTGGAATTGGAAAACCTGACTGTGAGTACCAGATCTCCTCCAGTCCCAGCCCTTGTTCTCCTTGAGGTGAAATTCATCTCCTCCCCAGCAGGGGCTTGAAATTGGTGGTCATGAATTGTCCTGGATTTGATGATTCTGCATGAGATGTCATGGAAATTAAACTCTTGGATATTTATGAGGTGTACCTGGGGACCCTCCAGGCAGTTTCTGGTCTCAGCCATACCCAGAGTGACACAAGCTTTTGAACTGTACCGAGATAACTAAACTCTAAAGAGGTAAATTTACTTGCCCAATTCCCTTTGCTCCCAGTGGAGACCAAGACACCACTGCTCATTATTTGTTTCTTGGCTGTGCAGCTGTAAAAGCTCCCTCAGACTGGTGAAACTTTGTCCTTGGAATTTAAGTCAGCTGTTCCCAGTCCTTCTGACTGGTGTACCCAGACTAAGAGAGTTCCCAACCCCTGTTGTTGCAGACCCAGGAAACCCGAGAGATTCTGCACTTTCACTACACCACCTGGCCCGACTTTGGTGTCCCGGAGTCGCCGGCGTCGTTCCTGAATTTCCTGTTCAAGGTGCGGGAGTCGGGCTCGCTGAGCCCCGGGCACGGCCCGGTCGTGGTGCACTGCAGCGCTGGCATCGGGAGGTCGGGCACCTTCTGCCTGGTGGACACCTGTCTGCTGCTGGTAAGGGCTGCAGGGCCAGCTGTCCTGCATGGGGAGCGTGGGACAGCCTTCCAGGAGCTGGGCCAGGGGCTGCCAAGGGTTCCCTGCCATTTGCCGTTGTTTGCTCCCATGTTTTGGGAGTGTATTCCAAGGCAGGTCTCGTTCCTAAGTGCCCATTTTGAGTCTGGGGAAGAGAAGTCTCCAGTTTTTCAGGGTGATTAATGAAGACAGGCTTTGCCTTCAGGGAAAGCAGCGTTTTTGAGGCCCAGTGTTTTCCCCCTCTGTGTTTTTGGAGAGCCAGTAACGAGCTGCTGATACCAGTTGTGTGTGAGTTGGTTCATTCTGTAGTGTGGAGGGTGGTGTGAAGGCCCTACCACAAAAATGAGTCATCTGTAATGAACCTCAGCAGAGCAGAAAGCATGTTTCACATTTTTATCTGCAGATGGACAAGCGGAAAGATCCTTCCTCCGTGGACGTCAAGCAGGTTCTCCTGGAAATGAGGAAGTACAGGATGGGGCTGATCCAGACTGCAGATCAGCTCCGGTTCTCCTACTTAGCTGTTATTGAAGGGGCAAAATTCATCATGGGAGATGCTTCAGTGCAAGTGAGTGCTCCTGGCAGCTCCCAGGGAACTGCAGCAAGTGGGTGGGAGGAACAGGATGGAAAGAAGCTTCAAATTTGGTGCTTGCTTCAGCTTCAGTAGTGTTTATATTATGGGGTTTTTAGGTACAGTACTTTACAGTCTGCCACGACCTAAAGTGGTGTATTTTATTTATTTCCAAAAGTTCCTGTTATGTAGCAGGTGCCTCCTGTGCTTTCCTGCACAGTGACTGGGTGGAGCTGCAGCATCAGCCTCCCCTGACATTTCAGACAGTACAAGTTTCCTGATATGCCTGAAGTTCAAATGTCATGATAAATTAATCAGGGTTTTTTATGGTAAGCAGAACTCCAGCAAGATAGATTTTATTTTGCGCTTGTTAAATCTTTTAGAAGCAGATTGGAATTTCTTGCTTTTAAGGCAAATATATTTTGTGTAGTGGATATAACTTCGGCTTGGAGTTCTTGTGTCTGGTTTTCCTTTCTTTTTTTATCAATGCAAATGAAGAGCCACTGTAAGAGTCAATTAAAAGGCAGAGAATAAAGATTCTGCCATGGTAAAGTTTGAAGTTAGAGCAGCTCACATGAAAGAGAAAATCTGACCAGGGCTTGTCCTTCCCTGAAGGAGCAGTGGAAAGAGCTCTCCAATGAAGACCTGGAGCCACCCCCTGAGCACACCCCCCCACCTCCCAGGCCCCCAAAGAGAACCTCAGAGCTGCACAACGGGAGGATGCACGAGCACCCCGAGTTCTCCCCGAGGCAGCAGGCAGCAGAGGAGGAGAGCAGCTGCTCAGTGGGCAGCGTGGAGCAGGCGGCTCCGGACGGCAGAGCCCGCGCGGCCGCACCAGCCAGCACAGACAGGTAAAGCCTCACTGCCCCTGGCTGCTGGGACTGCAGGCAGAGACACAGGGCAGGGGATGCTCGCTTCCACCCTGAGATGCTCTTTGGGAGTTAGAAACGAGCAGCCACATCCCGTCCCTTTCTGGCTTCCTGGGCAGGTGCTGGAGTTTAGAACTTGGGTGTTCCCCTGATCCAGCTGTGGGTGTGAGCGGGGTGCATTCACTGCCTGTCTTGGTGCAGATCTGTGATGAGCAATGAAAGCTGCTGGTGGTTAAAGCTTATTCTTTGAAGGGCACAGAATCCTCCCAAGCCCTTCCTAAACCTCTGTTGAACAGCCAGGTGTGTCCTAGCTGGAGACAGGCTGTGCTTTGGTGGCTGCTGCAGTTCCAAGAGCTCTGTGGTGTTCCCTGCCCTTGGAGCACCTGCATGGTTTCTCTGCTCCATGGCCAATCCAGCATGGAATATTTGTTCCTACCCAGCCCTGAGTGTCCCTCCCTCCCTCTGTCCCCAGCACTAGTCACGACACTGAACCCCGGAGGAGAACTGTTGGTGAGAACCCGCGGCTCTCGCCCCGCAAGGAGGAGTCCGTGAAGGAAAACTCGGAGGAGGAGGATGAGAACGTGGTGGCGACTTGGAAGCCCTTCCTAGTGAATATCTGCATGTTCACTTTCCTCACAGCAGGAGCTTATCTCTGCTACAGGGTGTGTTTCCATTGACCAGTGCCCCGGACTCAGCTCAGCTCCTCGGAGCCCCTCGAGGCAGGGCAGCCTTGGCTCAGAGCAGGTAGATTTAGGGGGAAAGGCCAGAACTTTGGGTAGGGCTTAATGAGAGAATTGATGCACTAGGGTTTTATCCAGCCCTGTGGTCCCAAGAACATAATATTGTAATCTCAGGGCCTTGAAATATTCAGGAGTAAGCAGAGAAAATGCCAAATAGTCTGTTTTCCTTTTTTGTTTTCTTTTTTTTTTTTTTTAAAAAAAACCTAAATAATAGAATTACAACACATTGTTGTTTTTAGCCTTTTTTAAAAAGCCAGTTCATTTTCATTTGTTTCAGAAAAACTAGACACAAGTGAAACTTGCTTGTACTCTCCAAGTGTTGTAACCAAATACATGACTTACATTGACAAGTTCCCAAAAAAAGAAAAAGAAACCCACATACCTGAAGAATGTAAACTTTTGGAAGGGGAGGTGTGTTTGTGGTTGGTTTTTGGTTTGTTTTTTGTCTTTTTTTTAAACTTGCTTCATCTTTAAAGACTGAGTTGTGGGCAGTGCCTGTGGTATTGATATATTTAATCTTGGCATAACTGTTCTTAAAGAGCTGATTGTTTTACTTGTGTTGATAGAACCAGGCTTCTGCATTTGCTCAGGGTATCCCAACATGTCCAGCTCTTTGATTTTTTTTTTAATTTTTATTTCTTTACTAAGTGTATCTCCTCATTGACTTTTGTTGCACTCTACTTGCACATATGCCTCTTTACATTGCACCATCCTTTCTAAAGCTGTTTTTACTTTTATATTCTGGGTTGGGAAAGGTCGAGGGGAGGGAGAGAAAACAGGAAGGGAAATTCAACCAAACCATGTCCACCAGCAGTGGGGCTGTGCCCGTGGAAGGACCAGTCCTTAAAGCTCAGCATTTGGAATGTAAAGTGCAGTTTCACTCTGCTCCCCTGGCCCAGCGTGGCCCTGGCGAGGGGCTCTGAGCAGGGAAGGGTTGGGAGATGAGAGCAGTCCCTGCTGGGGCAGTTCCCCAGGGCAGGAACAGGCCAGGAGGAGCCATGCTGGGCTCCCAGCAGAGCCCGTGGCTGGGCTGGCAGCAGGAGCTGTGCTGGGCTCCCAGCAGAGCCCATGGCTGGGCTGGCAGCGTTGGTGTGCCCTGCTCGGTTGGCAGCAGAGATGCCAATCCTGGCTGGGTGCTGCAGGGCTCAGGGGGCAGTGCTGCTGAGGGAGGGCTGGGCAGGACTGGCACTGGAAGGCAGCATTGCACCCAGCACTCAATGCTGTTCCTCGGGGTAATACCAAATTCTCAGTAGTTTAAACAATAATAGCAAAGATTTCTTTGCTCGTGTCGTGGTGCAGGGGACAGGAGCAAACTCACTCCTGGGAGCTGTAGTGATTGCACTGCCCCATGACAGCTGATCTGCAGCAGTGTTACTGATCTGTTTCATTTCTAAAGTCTTTCTAGATTTATAGCACTTAACCACCCTCAGTGCAGCCCTCGCTGTGCAGGAGCCCAGGGGAGCCCTCCACTCCGTATTTATTTTTGCCAAGCTGGCTGTAGGTGTAGCTCTTCCTTCAGTGGGTGAGTAGGTGAAGGGGTGGGTGGGGGTGGGAGTTACTTCTATTTTGTGTTATGTTAAGCTTGCATCAAGGGCTTTTCAAGAGTACAATAATAAATCCTCAGGTAGTACTGGGAATCAATCCTTTACCTGTGAGACTGTTGGTCAGACCAGTACTTGAAAGGAGGAATGTTGTAATCAGTCAATATTTAGTTATATTATTGGAAACAGGAAAAATGAGTATAGAAAAATGGTAATATATAATGGCTCATCTGTGTATTTAAGATACATTCTGTGATTGCTTTGTCCCCACTGTTCTCTGCAGCGTGGGCAGGACCCTGCCCTGAGGCACCATTTGTACCCCTTTGTATTAAAGTGCATGTGAAGTCTGCGGTGTCCCGGTGAAACACCACGTGCTTGAAAGGTGACAGAACTTATATTCCTGCTTCCTGATGTGCCCAAATGATACTTGCATGACCTGATCCTTAGTGGCTGTGGTTCAGAGGGTGTTGCTGAGTCTCTCTGTTCAGCACTGGACTGATTGGTGTTTATCAGAGCCCATGTACTCGCCTAATCCTTGGCATGACTTCCCGTGGGATCCCGTGTGCTCCGTGTGCCGGTGGTAGCATGTTCCTTTCAGCTGAGTGAGTGTAGTACAGACATTCCAGAGAGCTCAGGCAGCCCTTCCACACCTCCCCTGGCACTGGGACACCTGGGGAAAGAAACAAGCCCACCCACCTCTGGCCACCTTCCCAAGAGGGTGTGTTTTAAATCCTAGGTATGGCAGGAAAACAAAAGATCCTTCCTTTCAATACAGAGAGTTATTTAATTGCGAATGATTCTACCCAGACAAAGTTCCTGCAGATGCCAGAAGAGCTTCGAGCATCCTCTTCGTGCCTGTTTCTTTCCTGTGTTCCAGGCCTGGCTCTGACCTGTGGGGCACGCTGAGTGTGCCCAGAGCCCAGGGAGGTGTGGGCAGGCTGGCAATCCCGAGCTGTGCCCATTTTGTTTGCTGTCCTGTACTGTCTGTGGTAGTTGGGGGGTGTATATACCGTAGCACAGTGGGGTGTTGGGTAACCTGTTCTTGGAAATGGACAAACATCCATGTTAGACTCGTTAGAAAGTTAGTGAGCTGCTCTGCTATCTGCCTTAAGCAAATATTTACTCATCAGGTCTTTCTTTTTTACAGATTGCCATAGAATAAACTTTTATAAAAAAAAATGTAAAAACTCAAGAAAAAAGCTGAATGTTTTGGTATAATACAGTTTCAGGTATCTTGTCTTTTGTGTAAACCGCTGCTGGGCCTCCCAGGTTAGAGTACAACTGTACAGTTTTTCAATCTCCCATACAAGTTTTCAGTTCTCATTTTAGTTGTAACAATAAAACTCTTTTTTTTAAAGAACTCACTTGAATGAGTCATTGCTTCTGGGCTGGATCCATGGGCTCCTGCCTGGCCCACGTTCTCATGAGGGCTGGAGGGGATGGGGTTGTAGAGTAAAGGGGTTTAAATGGAGGCAGAGCTCCAGTAAAAGAGTAGAGGATCCCCATCTCTCCCTGCCACCTCCATTTCCCTCTTCTGGTCTTTCACACTGAACATTTTAAGGGTAAGAAGTGCAGGCACTCAGGCACCCTGGTTGGTCCCTGCAGATGATGCTGACCCTGGCTGCAGCTGCAGCCTGCACATTCTGCTGTTTGAATTCCAGTACTTCCCTTTGGTTTATATTTCTAAGGAAATCTACAACTGGAGGCAGGACAGGGCAGATCAGGGTCCTGTCCTTTGGGGGTTTAGTGCCTCTTACCTGTCCCAGGGCCACAGGCAGAGCAGTAAGAAACACTCCCAGGAGCTTGTCTCAAAAGGTTTATTAGAACTTTAGAAAACAGTATGAAATCCAACAAATAAATACCAAATAGAAAAGTTTTATGTGTATATATATATATAAATATGTACACACAAGCCCAACCCTTTCAAGTATTGCACCTGAAGCCAGGCTGCTCCCCATGGCACCCTGCCAGCCAGGGCTGGGGGACGAGCCCCACCAAGGCTGGAGGAGAAGTCTTGGTCTATGACTAAATTCAGCATTTAAAAAACCCAAACGTGTCCCTCTGTCAGTCAGACCTGCACATGGCAAAGCCCTGCAGCCCTGCTGCTGAGCACACACCTCCTCCAGAGCCTGTCAGGCCCTGCTGCACCTGGCCTGGCCTGCAACAATTACTAAGAAAATGACTTAGGGAGTACCAGGTATTCCTTCTGCAGCTAAACTGTCCAAGCAAAGGAAACCACCCAGCAATGGTGCTGGATTTGTTCTACTGACAGGGCAGGTGGTGGCGTGGGAGAGAAATTGCTTCCTGGGAAAATAGATCATATTGGACAGAATTGGGGCAGTGACAGCTAATTCCAGCAAGATGGAGATTTTAACTCCACTTAAGATGTGGATCCTCATTCTGAGAGATCCCAGTTTTCATTTGTCCAGCACTTGGTATCTCATGCGTTAGACTGAGAAAATCATGGAGAGCACAAACCCTTTGGAAATAAACCTGTCCTGGGGCAGGAGGCAGTGAAGGAAACCAGACAAAACCAAACCCTCAGGTACCCGTGTGGCTGTGAGGACAAGGGGATCCAGCTCCTCACATTCCACTGCTAAAACACTGTGATTTCAATCTCAGCCTCCTGAGCTGTTTCTCTCAGTTCACAGCAGATCCTGTCCATCTTCTCGAAGGCTTGTCGGCCCCGTTCCCCTGTGGAGAGAGAAAACAGCCCCTGCTGAGGGACAGGCAGAACACTCTGAGCAACGTGGCCAGCTGGGGACACTCCTGTCACACAGCCCTGCTTGGGAGAAAGGACTCAGGAGTGACAAACATCCCTCAGGGAACAGTTCTCCAAAACCAGTTAGAAGCCGCCATGGAAAATCAGGCCTCCTGCAATGATTTCCATGAGTAACAGTTTGGAGCATTACTGCTGGAAAACCTGTCATGTGTGAGCCTGAGTGTTCCATGGGGCAAGGCTGGAGAGCCCCAGAACTAAGCCTGGCTCCAAGTGGGGTTTGGAAGAACAGAACTGGGAAATGGTTGTCTCCTGCATGACCTGGCCATGCTCTGGCAGCATTCCAGCCATTAAGCCTGCAGGAAAAGACAAATACTGGGCAGTAGGAGGTGGGGAGCACTGACATTTTATCAGGTCACCTCCACTGTCAATCTACTTGGATTCCAGTGAAGTAACAAGTAATGAACCAGCATAAAACTGTCAGTCCTCATCTGTGAACTTTTCAAAAGGTCCAGTGGTTCCTAAAGCACTTAATCCTTCAGGATCTCCTTGGTCTGGTTCTATAAACTTCAGCAGGGGCCCTTGGCTGTTATGTGTGATGTAAAGTTTATCTTCATGGTATGAAACAGCTGTTTATGAAATATTTCCGTTGTCCTGGATGTGTTCTGGCTGAACTTGAGGCCCCTCCTGGTCCTGCACTATTTCACATCCCTTTTTCAGACCATTTGAAAGCTGTGCAAAAGCCTTACCAAAGGACAGTGTGGTTTCTCTGGCTGCATTCCTGACTTCCTCTGTTTCAGACTGGCACAGGTGGGCAACCTGCTCGATGCTCTCCACAGCCTGTCAGAGAAAAGAAGAACTTGCCTCAGCAGCTTTTCAGCAGTCTGATGGATACTTACAAAGCAAACACAGACACCAGCTCCAGCACACATCCTCAGGGCAGGCAGGCCCTGCAGCAGCAGAGCTGGGAGCGCTCACCCTGAGGTTCTTCAGAGCCAGACACGCAGCCTGCTGAAGCCTCGTGTCGCAGTCGGATAAAACATCAGTGTAAAACAAGACAGCCTGAATGAAAAGAGGAAAATAAAAAAGAAAGTTGGAAGTGTAATCAAGCAACCAAACCCGAGTTACAGGAGCAGTTTTGCCCTGGTGAAATGGAACAAGACAGAGGCAAATCACTTGAGCACTGCTGTGTTTAGGGGCTCGTTCCCAGCAAGAACAAGGCAAGGAAAGCAGCGCTGTTTGGGGGAAGCTGCCTGCATTCCCTGCTGTCCCTGCATTCCCCTCTGTCCCTGCATTCTCCTCTGTCCCCCATCCCCACTCACCCTTGCTCGGAGGCTGCTGCTGCCGCTGGCCCGGGCCAGGCAGGCGGTGGCCGCTTTGCTCACTCGGTGGTTCTGGTCCAGCTGCAGCAGCCCGAGCAGCTGCAGTGTCCGTGGCAGCGGCTGCAGCCGGCTCAGCCTCTTCCCCTTCAGCCTCTTCAGCGTTTTCAGCCTGCCGGGGCACTGCAGCTCCTCGATCAGCATCGCTGCGGGGCAGGACCGGCCTCAGGCAGGGGAACGCTCCCGGCCCGGCCAGCCCTGCCCAGCTGGGACAGCAGAGCCCTGCTCAGGCTCACAGCCCCCTCCACGAGCCCTCTGCATCAACACAAGCCTGAAGATGCAGCCAATACCAGGACTATTTTTAATTCTTTTCTAATACTGAGAAAGTTTTGAAGTACTTTCACATGTTAGACAAGGCTCCAGTGAAGCACTGGCTACCTCAGGCTACAGAATACACATCAGTAACCTCTGCAATTGTACTGCTCTTTTCTGTGTCCGAGTCCAGCTAAACAGTGAACCCAATTCACCGACTGCACTCGGTCCTTGGATCCAGCTGCAGGCTGCTCCTGTCTGCTTCAGCTTCAGAATATCCCCAAAAAAAACCACTTTTCAGGGCACTTAAGATAAGCCTATCCTTCACACGGGGTTTGTTTGCACATGCTCAGATATGGGAGTCAAGCATGCTTTTCCTGTTCTGATTAAAACTACATGGTCATAAGAGGAATAAAAATGGAAACAAGTTGTCAGTGCAAGGGCCGGGCTGTTTCCTGCTCTGGAATTGTACCTCCAGCAGGACCCTGGAGGGCACCAGCCCTGCAGGAGGAGCCAAGCACTGCCATTACCTTCTTTAGCAAGTTTTGCCAGGTGTTTCTCCAGGCTGCCAATGCGGTGTCTCTCCAGGTAACGATAAAACTGGAATAAAGTAACCGGTTCCGTTTGGAAATGTGAGGAGGGGAGCAACCCATCACAGGTGAGGATCTGCTCCAGCAGCCTCTGCAGCACTGCAGGGAACAGGGGAGGGACACAGAGAAACAGCAGCTCAGTTACATGGAAGCTGCTGAAAACGAGCGAGAGGTTTGGGTCTGGGATTTTTTAAATGCACAAGGACAGTTTTGAGCACGGCACTGAAATGAAGACAATGTGGCCAGGTGCTCACCTGTCTCCAGGTGGCTGGGGTACTTCTCCTTCACTTTGAGCATCATTGTGTATTTCAGAGCATGACGGAACCTTTCTGCTGAGGTCACCAAGATGCTGCTGCCAGGCTCTGCAAGATCACTCCAGATTTTCAGATACTGCTTCTTCTTTTTAGTCTTCTGAATAACTGAAACACAACATTTTAAAAAGTCAGCGAGCTCTAGCAGATTTGGGATTTTACATAAGAAATTAGGCAGCAGGTGGCCTGCCTGAACTTGGGGCAGCATTAAATTGTATTTGCATTAGAGATGGTTTTGTTAAAAATGAGGCATTTGCTGCCCGAATGTTCACAGCTGCAAGCACTGATCTCCCCTTGTTGGGCTGAGCTCCTAAACTGCCATCAGCAGCTCTTCTTGTTCCCTTCATCCCAGCACCTGAGTCAGTTCCAGAAGAATGTTTGGGAGTTTAGGAGGTCGCCCTTCTGTCAGCCAAGGAAGTGCCACTGCCTAAAACCCTTTCTAGGGATCCTGCCTTGTGTTCCTGGCCCAGGGCAGAGCTCTGACCTCGGGGAACCCTCAAACCCTGCCAAGAGCACATACAGCAATCCCTGTGGTTCCTCATCCGGACCCTTCATCCCTCATTGTACCTGCAGACACTGAGCTCCTGCCTCTCCCACACTTCCCCTGTCACACTCAACCAGCCCTGAGCAGCTCTGCTCCAGGGAACAGTTTATTCTCACATCCTCCGGGGAAAAATCTGCCAGCAAACGCTTCCAAATAAATTTGCATTCTTGCTGCTGTATTTACCAAAATGAGAACAAAAGCCTTCCAAGCCTCTCATTGTGCTTTATCATTTTGTCATGTCCGACAGCCAACAGAAGGATTCAGTAGTGGGAAGACTTGAGATAGAATTCTGTGCCCACCAAACTGTTCTGGCAAGTGAGCACAGAATTTGGGCTGTTTGATTACCAAGGAAAAGCACAGATAGAAAAGAGGATTTTATTAAGGCCGCTCTGCTGCTCTTTGCAAACTCCACCATCTACAGCATCCCTGTTTAAGACATACCAGTTCAGCTACTCTTTCTCTGAGACCAACTTCTCCAAATTTTTTTCCTTCTGTGTAGAACTAAAAATGAACCAAAGAATGAGCCCTGTTTTTCCTAAGAATCCAGATAAAAGAGCTGGTTTAATGATATCAATGTTTGCAAGGAATTTAGAGTGAAGCCCCTGGGTTTGGGGAGGCTGGAGCAGACACATCAGGAGTGCACCTCTCCCATCTCTGCATGCCTTGGAGCAAGGCAGGTACTCACTTTTCTCAACAGACAGATCCAGGACATCCCCCAGGACTCGTGTCTGCTCTGACACTTCTTCCAAAATGCTGTCCTGGACCACCTGGGCTACGTTTGGTGTCCTCAGTTTCTGAAATGCAACAGACGTAACTCAGGGGCTGAAACAAGAGCAGGATCAAGCTCCAGATAAATGAGGGTTTGCTTCTTAGAATCCAACTTTTAAGACAAGTGAGAAAACCTTGGCTGCTCTCAGAAGGCACCTTGCCCATCAGACACCTGCCCTCTGTTATAGCAGTTTTTCATTCATTAAACACTACCCAAGCCAAGGCAAGCCTGTGCATTTGCTTAGAGCTTCAGCAAAACCCAGAGGCTGAAAAGAGGCAGCAGAGTTTTGCATGACATGTTTTGTGTGGACACACGTGTACACTGCATTAATACACCCAATTTCCATTCTGAATCTCTCTCCTGTTATAAAACAAACAAAACATAACAAATTCTCCTGTAATCAGAATCAACAATGACAGGCAGTGCCCTGGAAACCCCCAGGCTGCTCTGTACCTGCAGGAGACCTTTGCACAGCCTCAGGTGTGTTATCAACAGCGTGTCTAGGTTGTCATCCCCAGTAGTTACATCTCGTGCTTCTGGTCTTGTGTCACAGCTCAGGGACTGGAGCACATTGCCATTGTATGTGCTGGTGAGATGAGGGGAAAAGAGAGTTAGAAGCCTCATCACTAAATAAAATTGAAGAAGTACAGTCTCAACAGGGAGCTGCAAAAGAAACCAGGTGGCATTGAACAGAAACCCACCTTTTCTTTAATTGCATTTATAACCCTCTAAAAACACGGGGAGACATTTCTGTGCTGGATTTGGCACCACAGCTGTTTCCCAGCCCAGCATGGCTCTTGAGGACCCCTTTGCCTGTCCCCAGCAGGTGCTGCAGCACATACCTGACACTGCCTGTCCTTACACTCCCAAACAGGGACAGCTCATCAGCACTGCAGTCAGCGTTCAGGAAATCAAAACTCTCCAGCACTGTCTCCACCATTAAACTCTCCATAGACGAGTGTTTGTGAAGTGTCTTGAGCTGTTGATGAAATGGAAGCAGAAAACACTGTTATTTGTAACTATTTTGCAGTTCTTTGCTGGTTTTGATAACATTCCTAATAATAAATCACTTTGCTTTTCTGATTTCATTCTTAACACATCAGGGAAGTCTGCTCTCGGTTCAGCACTCTGACCCCAAAATGATGTTGCTAGTTAAATTCAACATGTTTCAATATTTTAATCTCTGTGGAGTCCCCTTTATCTTCATGCCTGCTAAAGCTGCTGAGAGCTGATATTCTCTGCACCCTGTCACTGCCAGAGTTTTCACTCATTCCCTGTTTCTGAACAGCAACCTTGGGTGGCTGCTGCATTCCAGCACAGCACCCAAGAGCTTTGTACCAGCAGTGAATTCCATGGAGCCACCACCTGTGTGCCCCTCGGAAAGGCTGCTCTGAGGGTACCTGGTTTGGGTTTCAAACCCTGTTTTTCCAGGGGTTTCACTGAGGGGGAGGACAGCTGTGTTAGCAGTTTGTACTCCAGCCCTCGTGTTCCTGCCCCAAGGCCTGCTGTTCCCAGGACGCTCCGTGAGGGGAGGAGGCTGCAGCGTGCTGTACCCAGCGCCAGGCCTCACAGCCCAGCTGCAGCCACCCCTTCCCCAGGACTGAAAAACACCCCAGGACTCTTAGCCAGCCCAAAGGCTGAGCTGACACTCAGGTTCTGGGGTGACAGAGCCCAGGTTCTGCTCAGCCTGGAGCTCCCTCCCCACACGGCCCGGCTGCTCCCCGAGCCCTGCCCGACCTCTGCTGGCCACAGCCCGGCTGGGCCTCCAGCCAGCCACCGAGCTTGTCCACGACTCACAGAGAGCCACAGCTCCTCCCGAGGGTGAAACTCAGCCCTACCTTCAATTTATCCCTCAGGGACGAAACCTGGCATTCCAATTTCTCCAGCTGGGCTTGCCCCTCATCACACGATTTCAACAAATTTAACACTTCCTGCAGAGTCCTGTCCATCGACTTTGCTCGCCCATCTGCTTTGAGGTCATTTGCAGTATTCCAGCTTTTCTGGCTGATGTTTTCCTGCTCTGCCAGGCGGCGATTCCGGGCCTGGCCGAAAGAGTCTGTCCTGCCTTTGTGGCGGGTGGGAAAGGTGGAGGGGCTGGGGAAGCCACCCGCACACGGCGTCTTCTTCAGGATGTCCAGGGTGCTGTGGTCTGCCAGAGGATGCTGCAGCTCTTCCCCTCCATTCTCCCGAATAATCACCAGCGGCAACATCCTGTGGTCCAGGGCTGGGGTTGTACTTCTGGATTCTGCCCCTTTCTGGTCCTCAGAGCTGAGCGAGTCCCCCTCGCTCGTCTCCGCAGGGTTGTGGGGCTTGTTCCTCCCCGGGACATGGAAATCACAGGCAGCCAAGTAGCTCAGGATGCTGGGAGGCTGCGATTCCTCCCCTCCATCCCCTGGGCTCTGCCTCTGCTGCAAAACAGACTGCAAAGAGATGCCCAGGTGAGCCTGGAGACATCTGGAAAGCCCCACCTGGGAGAGGGGACTCTGCTTCCCTGGCTCCCAGTTTGATTGCCAGCACACATTACTGCAGCAGACACCCACACCCCATCCAGCCCAGCTGCTGAGCAGAGTTTCGTTGAGGGTTTTTTAAAATGTTTTACAAAATCTAAAAGAGAACTCAAAATAATAGGGGTTAAAAGAAAAATTTAACAAAGCCCCAAAACACACTGCAAAGGCAGCAGAGTGCTGTTTTCACATTTCTGAGTGTGCTCAGTGAGCCTGACCCAACCCAAAACCCAAGCCCCAGGTCTGTGCTTTCCCCTTTGCTCTCCAGGCACTCACCAGGTAATATCTCTCTCTGAAGCTGGGGGTGTTTGGGGGCGTCCAGTTGTACAGTGAGCTCTTCCTGCTACCCACAGAAAACTTGGCAGTGCTTCCAGGTGACAGAAACAGGTTCTCTGTGTCAAAGGGGCTGCAGCAGAAAGCAAAGGCCCAAGTGTCAGTGAGAGCAGAGGTGTTTGGCTGCTGGTAGGATTTGAATCTTTAGTCAGCAGCACACAGAACAAAACAGAAAGAGAAACTGCCTCCCTAGCCACCATCCTTGATTGCTACAGCAGAGAAAGACACAGGCTAAAAGGTTGTGGGCTTTGCACAGAATTCTCAAGACCCTTTGACAGAAACCCGTGGCAGTCTTTGGAAGAGGAGCCCAGTGGTCCCAAAGGCTGAAGGGCTCTGTCCTGACAGCAGCGCTGGCCCAGGCACCAGGCAGTGACACAGGCACAAAGCCAGAGAGAAAGGAAATACAACACATGTAATAGAGGAGAAACTGCCAATTTCCCTCCTGCAGAGCACACACCACCTGGAAAAACCAATAAAAGCCCTCATTATCCTTCACCTATTAATAAATAATTCCTCTGGCTGGCAGAGGAGGCCAGTGCAGAGCTACTTGGCAGGTTCTGGGATTCATACAGGCAGGGATGAGCCAGTTACAGCCCCAGAGCGTGTTGGCTGTGGTCTGCAAGGGTTTGTCAAGTGCTGCTCCAAAGACTTCCTAATTACCTACTTCATCTGAGCCATTAGTTTCTAAACTTCTTTGCAAAGCAGTCTAAGGAAACTCGCATGAATGATCCCCTGGGATGGAACTCAGCTAACCAGGAGATGGAAAACACATTTCAAGTTAAGAAAAGCAAGTTCAGTTTCTGTATGTGTTACTCTTTGTTGCCTATTGAGGTGCCTTGTGGCACCAAAAGAAAGTTTGTTTTTCCACTTGAGTACTGGCATTTTGAAAAAAGTGAATTGTTCGCAACAAATCTGCAGCCTCAGTGATTAGTATAACAACCAAAGAGCAGGATAGAATCAGCTGAATTCAGCTGTACATTGCAGAGATCCAAGTGATAATGAGGACTAATCAATTGCAGCAAAATGAACTTCTGCTCTCTAGCAAAAGTTGAAAAGCAGAGTCCCAGCCCTCTGTGGCTTCTCAGGTTGCCCAGGGACAGTTGTGCAGAGCGCCCTGCAGTGCAGCACTCTGCTCTTCCTGAGCACAGAGGATGCTCTGGGAGCTCCCCTAGCCCAGGTTAATTGCCTGAAAGAGCCCAGCTGGGCTCCATCACAGCCCCAGCACCACGGGAACAACCATCTGCACTGACTCTGGGCAGAAATAAATCGGGGTTCTGACAGCAAGAGCCTTTCAGCAAAAGCCTGCTGTGTTTACTGATGAAAGCAAATTACTCCTACCCATGGCATTCTTAACAAAAGTTACAGGGACCCATTCCTCAGATTTTTCATTTCTAGCTTTTAATACTGTGATGCAGTAATGGAAAGTGACACTTCTAGGGGAGGAACAAGAACAAACAAAATCTGCTTTGCCTCTCTGACAATTCCTAAAAGCCTAAATACTTCAGCTGGCGGCAGACATGCACTAGCTCCTGGTCCTGAAGGAATGACAGAGGGCAGAGCAGAGGGGGACAGCAAGAACGGAGTCTGCTCTGGAGCTTCTATTATCTCTTGGCTCTGAGCTCCTTGGGCACAATCCATCATCTCCCACCACATTTCTCCAGCAACAAAGCCTTGTGCTGGGACAGCTCCACGAGTCCATCTCTCCCAGCATGCTGACACAGACTGAGCCAGCAGGGGATGTTCCAGGGAAAGCCAGAGGAAGCCAGTCAGATGGAGTTTGAGGCAATCCATAGCTGAGCTCTGTCATGCAGCACACTTTGCAAGCAGACTATTGTCTTGAATTGTCACTGGTTTTTCCTCAGTTTGTTTAGTCACTTCCTGAAATCATTGACATAAAACCTCTGCGTAGGTAAAAACTATGCAGGAATGTCATTGTTTAACCTTAAACTGTGGAGCAAGTACTTTGATGGGGTGTGGGGGGTGCCTGTGGCTGAGCTGAGAGAAAGAGTGGCTCCACATTTCCTGTTCACATTTCCCAGCCAACATCCACATCATACCTGCACAGGATTATTCAGCAACAGCTTTTCAGGACTAAAAAACTCTATTAAAAAAAAAAATCTAAAATGACCCACAAGTCTGATCATCTTTGCTCTCCCCATTCTGTGCCCCAATCACTCCCCTCCTGTCCAGCCACTCCATGGAGCCAATACCCCCAGAGCAGAAGTGTGGATGGAATTCCCTGCCTGAATCCCACTGCTCAGCCTGTGAATCCAGCCTTTCATTGATACCCCCAAAAAAGCCAATTCTAGTCAAATGGACTGGACTCGCTGCTAATAATGAGATTTTTCTTTCCCCCATTAAGCCCAGTGGGAAATGCCATGGGATTTAGCAGAGAGGTGCTTGTTGGGTCTCAGCCACCCCTTCCAGCCTAACCAGTGTCCAGGGTATCCAGCTGAGAGAGCACAGACATGCACCAATGCATCACTGCCTGAAGGTCCTGCAGCAGGACCTGCCTCTCCACCCTGCTCTGCATCTGGAAGAGCAAGACTGGCAGCAGGTATGCATCCCAAAATAAAAGCCTTTTTTACACTCCCTTAGGGCTTTGTCCTGCTGCTGCAGGAGGCCCTGAGAGCCAGGCCAGCACTGCTCAGTCACCAGGGTGCTTTGACTGGATGGTGCCCCTGGATCCCAATGCAGGGCATTCCTGGAGCTCTGGAAAGAGAATACAGCTCTCTCTTTATCCTGCATGTGAGACACAGAATTCAGACTGCTGTTTAGGTTGGCAAAAAACTCAAAGCCTTTTGCCAAGCTGGCCAACAAAGCTGTTCTGCAACGGCCCCAAGCTCATTCACACTCCTCATGGCACAACCTATAAAGGAGCTGAAGGCACTTTTGTTTGAGCCCAGAAGACCAGAGGCCTATTTAAAGAAAATATACATTTAGAAGCAGAAGAGAGATCTACATTTGGATTTCTCACAAAGCAGGTCTAGACTGAAAGCTTGCCTCTCAGGGAACTTGGGTAAATCAGATGGATTTGTTTAGTTATTCTTAAATCAGAGGAAAAAGCAGCTGTTATTATGAGTGCTCTATCTCTGGAAACAGAAACACCCTGAGTTATCACCACAGCTTCTCTTTTCTGTAAACAGCCTCAGCAAACACTGTCAGAGAGGAAAGGCCAGCTCTGCACAGAAGAGCTCTGGAGAATCCACTTGGTGAGACCCCAACGCATCTCACAAAATTTAAACACAGCAGAGACACAGAGCTGGAGCTCTCATGTGCTGAGGAATTCCAAAGGGGGATTAACTCCCAAAGAAAATGAGTCACACCAGCCCTGCTCCCAGCTCAGCTGCTGCCAGCTCCAAGAGCTGTGTGATGCTGTCCCAAATCCCATGGACGTGCTCCCCCAGCCCAAAGCCTCACTGGGGACCACAGCCAGAGAGGGTCAGCAGCACCAGGATGGAGTTTTCTAGAAGGTTTTTCCCCAAATACAGTTTTCTGTGGAGATTCAGGTTGTGAGGAGCTGTGCAATAGCCCCGAGTAGGAGGGGGATTTCCTCATCCAGTCTTTTGTAAGAACAGTTTCTATGCATGATTGATCCTGGAGCTCCTGGCAGTGGGGACAGGAAGAGAGCAGATCCAGCAGTGAATGAGGGGCTCTGTCTGTCAGTGCCACTGCTGGGGGTGCACAGGAGAGAGCAGAGGGGATTTCTTCCAGGCCCTATAAACTCCATATGCTGTGGCCACTGTCAGATCTCAGGAGGAAAAATCATCATAAACAGGGGCAGGCAAAAGTGTGCCAAGGTGAGTTTATTTCTTATTGACTTTGAGCAATCTGTGTTTGAAAATAACTTTCAGCTGCTGTGGCTGGGACACATTTCTCAGCCCAGCTGCAGGTACAAGTGTCAAGAACCACAGCACACACAGGGGATGCTCAGAAAATGGTGCTGGACCAATAAAGCTTCTCCTTCCCCAGCCCCAGCAAGGGAACAAGAGCTGTTTCTGATTTTCCTGGTGAGAGCCTGCACAGGTCACAGGGCCTTTCAGGGAGCTCCTGACACCGAAGGGTGCTCGAAGGGCTCCGGCCATGCAGGGTTGGGAAGAGCCCAGGCTGCAGAAAGCCAGCACAGAGGGACCTGTGGAGAGGGTCCCCTGCTTCCCTGGCACCTCCCCAAGGTGCTGCTGTAATCCTGGACAGTGGCAAATGAAAACAGGTTTAAAAGTCTTGATTTGTTGCAGATGGATCTCTCTGTACAGGACAGCAGCACCATAAAGCAGAAATGACAGAACTACCTCAAAACCCTGTGCTGTGAGTCTGGAGGGAGGAGTAAGTGCCAGTGCACTCACAACAGTGAGAATTTACTTTTAATAACAGCAGTAGTCCACTACAAAAATCAAATTACAGATTTAAAATGTGAAACAACTTAATCACAGGCATCATGACAATGCTCAGCTATTTAAAAGTACATCTGTAAGCAGCTTCCCTGGGGTGCACAGACAGCCTTCTATCCATAACTACTCACATATGCAAGGTGCCAAGTCTTTGGGAAAGCTGCTTTTTAACAGATCATGTCTTGGTAACAATGACTGTCCTAAGACTTCAGCTATGTATTTTTTTCATTGTGTCCAGAAACTGCCACTTCCATCACCTTGGAGACATTCTGTGTTTTGCAGACACACGCATTGCCTGGAGTTAGACTGAACACCCCTTGTGAGGAGCAGAGTCAGGGCACTGGTGAGGTGCCATGGCTGTGGTGACACCAAAGAAGAGCTGAAAGGTCACAGGAACAGCTTCTGTCCCCTGCCCTGCCTGCTGCCATCAGCTGCTGCCCGGGGAGGGAGCACGGGGCTGCTCTCTGCCCTGCTCTCAGGGAGAAAGAGGACCATGGTGTTGAATGCAGCCCAGGGACACACCTTGAATCATTTGCTGTGTTTTCTGTTGCTGTCTGAGGCTGTACTTACTTCCAGAGCACCTCCAGCCGCAGCTTGATGGTGCCCAGCTCGGTTATATCCACGACAATGGCCTGGGGCTTGGTGCTGAAGAAGTTGATGCTGTCACACGTCACCACCCCCACCAGGATGGTGGCCAGGCCTCGCAGCTCTGTCACCTGCAGAGACACAAACACACCCAATTCCACCTCAGCAGGCAATCCTAAACTTCCTGCAGGGAAGGGAGAAGAGCCCAGGACAGATCTGCTCTGGGAACCAAGCCCCAGCACACAGCTCTGTGCTCCCAAACCTGTGAGCCTCCATCCCCACAGGGAACAGCTCACAGGAGGCTGCCACGGAGGGGAGGGGTCCCAGGAGTGGGGACACACAGCTGGACAGCAGCTGCTGGGTTTAAACCTGCCCCTTGTTTGTATGGATTAGTGAGCACCAAGCAGAAAGAGCAGGAGGTGTGGAGGACATCTGTCATCAGCTGACACAAAGAGTAAAACTGTCATTGTCACACAGTGACATGGGGTTTTACAACAACTGTGGTAAAACAGGATCTGAATTAGCTTCTCACTGATCCTCATTGTGCAGTGAAAGTAAAGAGCCACCTCATAAAGCCATTTCCAAAGGCAAGGTGCCAGAGAGGATGCCCAGGCTGAGGCAGCTCCTGCTGGCAGGGCAGGGAGCTCTGCAGGAGCTGCTTTAACCGGCTGCCAGAGCCCAGAGGCTGCACTGGCACAGTTCCCCACTAGGACAGGATCCAGCACAGCCTCAGCTCCCTGCAGAGCCCAGCTGTGTGTGGTGCCAGGCTGCCCAAGGACTGACCCCTGCCAGGGCAGGGCACAGCCAAGGCTGCGCTTCCCACAGGGGGAATTCTGTCCTCCAGCAGAGAGCAGGACTGCAGGTGCTCAGCATCCACATGGCAGATAAGAATAATATCTACAGGCATATCTGTGTCTCCACCTCCAGGCTGTGTCCTAGAAATTCACAGATATTGATCTAGGACTTCTTTAAAAAAACAAACAAACAAACAACTCTGAACACAACCACGTATCCCAGGACATGGAAAAGCAGGTGGACTGATATGGTTACTAGTGCCAGTGGCAAAGGAAAATCAGAAGTAATGTCCCTTCACTAGGCACAATGTGGATTAACTGTCATTTTTTACATAGCTAGAAAAAGAAAACTATTTAAGAATTTTGAGAAACCCTTGGTAGCCTGAGAGTGGAATAGCAGGAAAACTGCTAACCCCCAGCTTCCAATCCAACCATTATACACCACACCTTGATTTCAAACTTCTCGTGCAGATTGGGTATAAAAACCTTTTCTTCCTCATCCCATGTTTGGCTGTCATCAGTCTCAATTTTGCCTTTCAGCCTCCATTTTTGGCGCCCCAGTCTCACGAACACCTGGACACCAGAGAGAAAAGAGGATGTGGGTCAGCATGTCCAGGACTATTCCCTTCAGCCCACAGGTCCCACACTGGCCCAGCTCCACAGAAGCAAAGCCATTCCCTTCCCTGGGACACTGGGATGGATGCAGCAGAAAAGTGGAGGCAGGAATTGGGGGTGCAGGTTTAACCCTTGCAGTCAACAGCCAAAGCCACATCCCAACCACTGGAGAAGAGCCCAGGCCACTGCAGTGAGGTACCAGGCACTGGAATTCCCTGGGAAAGGTGAGAACAGGAGAGCACCCAGGGGGACACAGAGTGCATTCACCCCGTGCCAAGGGCAAGCTTCCAGCGAGCAGGCAGCCTCTGGCTCCAGGGCAGCTCTGCAGGCAAAGCCCTGGCAGCTGGGTTTGACAGACAATCACTGAAAGCCTCCCACAGCACCCAAATCACACCCCTGTCCCTGCCCAGCCTCCCAGGGCACAGCCAGGGCACCACTGCTCTGCTCTGCCCACAGCACATCGTGCCTTCATCACACACCCTGCCTCCTGCTCTCCTTTCCACCCCCAGCCTCCCCTCCCGCTGCCACTGCACTCCCACTCCAGGACAGGGAAGGGCAAAATGCACAACGAGCTGAGAACTGCACCTCGTACTGGTCTCCTGGGCAGAGACGAGCAAAGCCCACCAGCCCTGAAAAGAGAAGGAAAACTCCTAAAATTGTTTGTAGAGTTTTACAAAGTCCCCCAACACCTCAGCCTGCAATAAATCAAGGGACTCTGAGGAACACCCCTCTTGTCCTCAGCTCTGTGCAGAAGCTGCACCACCAGCCCTGCACACTCTTAAAAGGACAACATTTAATTGAGCTGAAAAAAGAAAGCTTGTCAGCTTTGTATTCAAGTATAAAATACCATGGCAGGTCTGTTTTATAGCACTGGAGCAAAAAACAGCATTTTATTCCAAGTCTCTCTGAATAACTGGACTCTCAGTGGATCTGTTTGTGACCCATGAAACCCCAAATCAATCAATCCATGAAACCCCAAATCAATCAATCCATGAAACCCCAAATCAATCAATCCATGAAACCCCAAATCAACGAATCCATGAAGGAAAGGAGAGAGGAACCTACCTTTCATCTTCACATGGAACTCTCCCAGGTGCACCTCCAGAGCCCCCTCTATAAAGCACATGTCCTAAAAGAAACACTGCAGTCACCAGCACTGCAGAGGAGCTGCTTCCCCACACATGCTAGTTCTTTTTTTTTTTAAAGGACACACAAACATTTTCACCAGTAAAGGCAGATAAAAGTAATATGAATGGATTCTGTAAAACAGAAAATCTTTCACAGAAGAGTGGAACTCCCTGAGCTCATCACTGTCAGTTGCTTTCCATTACTGGTTTTGTAAAAATAGCAGAGCTTATCCCTTCATTTCTCATCCCACACTTCCAGGGGAAGTTGTAAGAGACCCCAGCACTAAGGAATTTAATACAGTGTACCTGTATTTTATTCACACACATGAAGTTTTTAACCCACACCTTTAAAAAAAAAAAAGCCAGCAGCACCTCCCAGCACATTTTTGTGAGGGAACAGGCAGGTCCTGGTTATGAGTGGGAAGGATTTCCTACCTCTGTGCACTCCTGGACGTTCTTGTAGAGCTCCACCAGGCTCTCCCTGGAGGCTTTGGTGGAAGGGGACAGGGAGAAGGCATGTTTCATGTTGGTGGCCCCATCCCTCAGCCTGCACTGGATGCAGTAAGCTTCATAGAGCTCTTCTACCTTTGGAAGGTGGGAAAGAAGGAACTGGAATTACCCTGGCATAGTTCAGGAGTTTTGGAAAGGAACATCAGCAGTGTTTCCTGGCAAAACAGCCACCAACCAACCCAAATGCCTGTGTCAGGGCAGTGCAGAACGCTGCAGCTCCTGCATTTTACAGAGTGCAACATTTGCTCCTCAGTGTCCCACGCTTCTCCCAGGAACACAAGCAGCTCTGCTGTCACCAGAACAGAAGACAAGAAGTAGAGCAAGGCTTTGCTGACAGGAATTGCAGAGCAGGAAAGCAATTCCCTGAGCACAGAGTGAAGCCCCTGCAGTGTGAGCTGTGCCAGAGGACAGGCAGCAGACACAGAACTGCCCCTGTGGCCCCTCGTGGGGAGAACACATCAGGCTTCCCAGAGCAGCATTTTCTGAATCAACTGGCACAAAATGAAAAGTGCTTCCACAGGAAAACTCAGGTTGGGTCGTGCCCAACATTCAGCCTGAATAGATCCATTCAGGAAAAGAAATAAATAAAAATCCCTTCCTCCTGTAAGAAGGGTGGCTACGGCTCTCAGCAAGTCCCCAGCACTCTCCCCTTCAGATGAATTATAATCCATGTATTTCCTTGTGGGTAGATCATTTGCAAAGCAGTGTGAGCCTGACAGGTACAAGGTATAAAGCCCTTACCTTGCTAATGTGAAACTCCAATTTCCTGATGTATCTCTCCACAGAGCGGATTTGCTTTTGAAGAGGGCAGAGAGAGAGAAAGGGATTTAAAAATCATTTCCTAAATGTGTCATTAGGTAACACAGCAGACAGAAAATCACCTATTTTCCTCTACCTGCAATATTCCATGCCATCCCCAAGAGCCTTACCTTATCCAGGTCATAGTAGAAAGCCTGAAAGAGAAATGGCACAGGCTGAGGAGGGGAGCACCTGGATCTGTGGCATTAATAATACTTTTGTATGCACTGCAAGACTCCTAATTTACACTAATTCCTAATTTACACTAAATTCCTACTGCAAACACTGATCACTGACACAGGGAGATTCAGCCCAGTAATGAAACATGAGCTGAAGAGCACTGCTGGCTATTGAAAATGAGAAATTTCAAGTTAAATTCTCCATTATGGGCTACCTTGCTTGGGAAATGCCTGATTGTGCTGCTTTGCTGGATCCCACCTCAATGCTTTAACTGGACTGGGAGTCCCAGGGGGGAGAAATCACAAAGCTACTTTTGTGATTCTTTTTCAAATATTTAACATTGAAAGCACCTTACCAATCTGGAGTTCCTTTTTGTGTCTTTGTGCCGACCAGAGAGATAATCCAGCTCAGCCTGATGTGCTTCCAGGTATTCACTGGAGAGAAAGCAAACCCACGTTAGAGCCTCCTGAGATTCCCTAGAGATCCCTTGGGAAGGGCTTCCAGCAGAATGGCAACTTCTAACACACATCAATCACAGAGCTCCCTCTCGGATTCCCTAGCTGCTCCTAGCTGACCCTTTCCTGGAAGGCAGCAGGATGGTTCATCCAGGGGAATTCTGCGCTTCCAGTGACTGAGGAGGAAGAGCTCAGCAGCCAGCTCCACCTCAGAGAGCCAGAGCCTTGCCACATGAAACACCTGCACAGGTGAGGTGGGGCAGATGCTGCCCAGGGTTTTAACAAACAGAGCTGAAGATCGTGTTAAGGCAATTTCTTAATGCAACTGTTCCTTTTTCCAGGAGAACTGTTTTGCAAGGTGTGAAGCACTCGGTGCCAGCTGGCTGCTCTAGAGCTGCTTGCATGCATGGGTTCTGCCTTAGCACTTTCCACAGCCCCTGAGACCTTTTCAGCTGAGACTCTTCCAGCTTTGCTTTTAATACACAGCAGACTTAGGTAACTTTTTCCTCTGATGTTTAAAGGGAGCCAGAATCACCTGGTAAACACTACATCCTTAGACACAGTCTCCGAGCAGTCAAAATAACTTCATTTTAGACAGCTACACTTCCTCACATTTGCTTTGATGCATTTCATTTTCTCACTGTTCCAAAGCCAGGTCCCCCAAGACATGCCACGTCTCCAGCACTCAGCTGCTCTTAACACCTGCCCAGGAACAGCTCAGAGCAGAAGCAGCCAAGGCTGGAGGCAGAAAAGCACTCACTCACCTTTTACAAAAGCTTCATCGCTTTTAGCTTTAAGTATGTTAGAATTATCAGCTTGATGCAATGGCAGCCAGATGGTTAGCAGAATAAAGAGTTATTTTCTATAGCTATAAAGAAACAGGCACGTAAAATATGTTCTGTACTAAAACTCCAAGTCACTCCAGCACCGAGTGGACTTAGTCTGCATTTACTTAAAATTTGGCCTTTGCATTGCTATTTGATCCAGTTGTTTTCTGTAGGTTACTTCAGTCCATTAGTCAGCCACTCACTCCTGGCAGGAGGCTGATCATGTGGCACTCGCTGCAAAACTGGGAACAAATTCTGACCCACTTTATAGTTTCTCCTCCCTAAGCTCAGATAAATTCTCAGCTCTGCAAAAACATTTGGTTTCCTCGTCTCTTTTAAATCCAAATCCTCTAATAAGAGATTGGTGGATATTTTTAGGGTGAAGATTTCATGGTCTGTTATTGGACTAAAAATGTGACACATCTGACTTTATAAAGCATTACTACAGTGCATTTGATGTTCTTTGCTTAAGAAAACAAACTGTGACCAAAATGAATAGAGTAGTAAAATGTGGAGGAGAGCAGTGGCACACTGCAGGAAGTGTTAGGAGGGTGCCAGCAGAAAGAGCTGCAGGGTTTACAAATCCAGGGAAAGGTATTTTATCTTCCAATAGCAGCTGCAGGGTGTAAATGAAGTTCCTGTGATAAGAGAACATTCTGGGAAATCAAAAAGCTCAAGTTTTCAGGTGAACCTGCTTAGAACTTTGCCTTACAAGATGCCCAGAGACAACAGAGTAATTTTGAACTTTGGAGTTTAATTCTATTAAAAGAGGGAGAGAAAAAAATAATACAGAAAACCCCAGAAGGCCCATCCTGACACCCCCCTGGAACAACTCACTCTGAGGGCTCAGTGATTAGCACAGGGAGAACAGAAGTGCTCCATGAACCAGCCTCCCCACTCTGCAGGGCACTCCCTCATTTGCAGGTTCCATTTTTAGTCAGCTTTTTGATTCAAAGCAAACTCCACACACTTCCCTCTCCAAAAAGTTTTTGCCACCCCCTCCCCATGTCTGGCTGTCCCATCCCTGCCCTGCCACCCTCAGTGGCTCCCCTGGAGATGGGCAGTGCTCACTGACACTCTGCAGAGTGGAACAAACCAAAAGAGGAACAAAGCAAAAGAGATCCCCGTGCTTGAGAGAGTGAATGAAGCTGGTTTTAGGACCCAGGTCTGGGGCAGCCACCACACACGTTCAGAGATGTTCAGGATGGAGACAGAGCACAGTGACACACAGATTGCAGCAGCATGACCGAGTAAAGCAAATTACAATATTGAAAAAGTCCTTACTTAAGTCCTTTCTTCAAAGCTTCAAAAATTTTCTTCACCTGCAGTGGCTTTGGGTCCCAGATGAGTGCCCCCTTCTGCAGGGAGTTATAAGCCTTGGGGGGCTTCAGTGACATCCTCGATCTCACTGAGCTCCTGCTGAGGGATTTGCTGCAGGAAGAGCAAGGAGTTTCAGAAAGGGGTGAAGCCCATCACCTGGGAGATGCCTGGGGCACTTCAGGGCACCAGTTCTGTCCAGTCCCACTCCCATCGCTCCGTGGTTCTTGGGCACCTGAGAGCGCCCTGGCAGTGACAGAGCCCAGCAGGGCAGGGGGCACCCCCAGAGCCCCAAAGGCAGCCCTGCTGCAGGGCCAGTCCCCTCTGGCTCCACCTGCACACAGACAGAAAACCTTGGGCTGCTCAAGGTTTGAGCCTTTGGAACTTGCTGTTTCCCTGCCACTCACCATCCCTTTAAACCGTGCCTCAGAGCACCACTCACTTGTGAAAACCCAACTGCCAGGCCCAGATTGCACACAAGATAAAACTAGCAAGGGGTTTTTTTTCAGCATCTAACACCTCAGGTAATTACTTTTAAAAGCAACTGCAAAATCAAAATTAAATATTGTTTCTACCAGAAGTCCCCCCCACAGAACTTTTTGTGCCCACCTAAGCAGTTAGAACACCTTGAAGCATCAGTTGGAGACACCTTTAAAGCAGAAAATGAGCTCTCTGCAAATAATTCCTGCCTGGCTTACCTCTCTCCATATCCTCCCCTAAGTCCTGGCTATTTTTATGTAGGTTTGTTAATAATCCCCCTAAGTAAAGCCTCTAAAATGACATTACCTAGAGAAGTTTCCCATCACCAAAGCAAGCCAAACCAGCCAGCAGCTCTCTGAACAGCTTTCTACCTTCTCTACAATTTCCATCCTAAATTCTACTCACCTGGAGAAATGATGAACTCCACCAGGCCCCCTAGTTACGCCCTGGCTGCTTTCAGTTCCAGGCTTGTAACTGAGGCCTAATGGGATTATTGTGCTGGGTGATTAAAGCCCAGGCCCAACACACCTGAGCTGTCCCTAGTCCGATTAGAGAAGCCCCTGAGTACCTACTTTAATTATCCTTGTCCTAAATTTCCACTTAATTCCAGGTTTTAACATCTGTTCTGCAAATAATCTGATAAACTAGGTGTTGCCAAACATTGCTGGATACCTAATTTCTTCACACCGCTGATTATCTTGGTTTTTTATGATGCCTTAATGGAAAGAATTAATTAACAAAACCATTTGGAGCTCAGGTTGCCTACAACAAGGAACATAGCTGTTAAATTAGAACCTTATATTAATATTACTTTTCTTTATTATGATAATGTATTTTGGGTATCTTTGCATGTATCTATGCAAAGTGAGAGACTTTCAACAGGAATAACACTGGAAGGGACAGTCTGACCAATAAGGGCAGTTGAAAGAGTCTCATTGCTTGAAATTCTTTCATGCCAAGAAGAAATAGCATCTAATTCCAAGCTCTCAAGTACTTTAATTAGCAAGATACCAAATAGAAGAGACAAGATAATTCTGTTTTGAAATTAAAAGCCCAAATTACTCCAGGGTTTTGTTTCGTTTTGGAATTTAGCTTCAGATTTTTGGAGTGCAGATCCTAAATCCTGGCAATGACTTCCCTTGCACAGCACCTCAGTGCTGCACACAGAGGCTGGGATCCCCACTGCCCCTTCTCCTCAGCATCTCCCAGTGGCTGCTGCAGCCACTGAGCCCTGATGTTAAGAATCCCATTTTCATACATTTCATACATTTTCATCCCATTTTCATAGATTTCATACGAAAGTGAAGTAGCTGACACGGCCTGGAGGGCCAGTAGCTAAAAGCTGAATGTTCTCATGCTGCTTTCCCTTGTGAACCTGATAATTTAAGGATCAGATTTCCCACTTTACAGATAACAGGAATAACATTTACTTCCTGTGGAGACCGTGGTGGGGAAATAGAAAATTGTGTCTGACTGAGACCCAAGGGGCAGTTGCTAAAGAAAAGCAAAAGTATATTTAGCATGTGCAGAAGAATGTCCATGTGGGGCTGATTTGTGTGTCATCCTTGGACAGACCTTGCACAGGGCCCCTGCGAGCTCCTGCTGAGTTTTGCAACAATGCCTGAGGGACAGAGAAGTTAGGAAAGGGTGATTAAAAAACTCCTTGTCTGTGCCAGGGCAGGCTCTCATGTTCACTGGGCTGTGACTGAGTGTCTAGGGCAGAAATCTTCCTTATTGCAGTGATTCCTGAACAAAACTGTCTGTCTAAACACTCAAATAATGAAGAACAACATCAGGACAGTGCATAAAGAGAGGTACTTGGTCAGGAAAGCTTTGCAGCCAGCCCTAAGAGGATGACCCTAAGGGATGGTGAATTATTCTGTCTGGAGCTCTGGGACCCCACTGGAAACCCCTGCCCAGCCCTGCTCCTGGTAGATCCTTTCCCTGCTAGAATCTCCCTCTGGACTGCAGCTCAAGCCTGCCTGTGTCATCTGACAGAGTTTTTCTTCAGATCTTAGCAGTTGGTGTGATTTTAGATATCTGATCTTTGCTAGGGGTAACATTAATTTTCACTTTCACCAACAAATTAATTTATCCAAATTGAAGACTCAGTTGCATCACAACCATACAGGGATTTCATTTTTGGTTCATACTTTACCGTGCTGTGTTCAACCAAAAGTTTAATTCAGTCATCTGGTTCTTTGAAAAGATGCTTCATTCCATGAGTCAGGATTTTACTGATACACAACAGGATTCTTTTTGAGTACAATGCTCCTGAGGCACACTTCCCAATGCTTCCATAGGGTGCAGCTAAATGATTCACTTTATTATTGCTCTAGCATGCACTGGCAGTCAGAGATCGTGTTCATTTCCCATTTATAGGTCATATCTTCTAAAAGCACTCAAGATTTACAGGGATTTACAGGGATTGTTAAACTCACAAAAAGCACAGGATTTTTTTGTTGAAAAGCTGCAGTGACTACACAGAGCAACGCTGCCCATGGAGAGCAGAATGGGAGCATCAGTGCAGGGTGCTCAGCAGCTCCAGAGGCCAGATGGGGACTGAAGGCTGCAGCCCTGCTGGGCTCTGGGCTGCTGTGAGAGCAGGGAATTGCAGTGTTTGATTCCTGCCCTCCTGCCAGGACCCTGCCCTTCCTCCCTGTGCTGCTGCCATGGCCCTGCCAGGACCCTGCCCTTCCTCCCTGTGCTGCTGCCCTGCCCCGACAGCTCTGGCAGGATTTGTCTGGGGCTGCTACAGATTTTGCCAGGATTCACCAGGAACATCCCCAGGGGATTTTCAGCTCCTTGGCTGCTGGGAGAGCTCGGTCAGAGCTGGGCAGGGTCAACAGCAGGGAGTTATTTTCCCTAAATATCCCTAAAATCCCCCGTTTTCCCAGCAGAAATGGCACTGGAGCATCCTGGCAGTGCTGGGGGCACAGCTCTGGATCCGTGACACCACAGCTCCAGCACTTGAGCACAGAGGGGCAAAAGCAGCAGCTGAAAGCTGGGGTGCCCTGCCAGCCTCCAGCCAGGCCAGGCCAGGGTGACTTACGCCGCTTTCCTGCTCTGCACCGTGCTGAATCCCGTGAAGGAGCAGCTCCTGCTGATCCCAGCACCGTCCCCAGGGGACACAAACGTCAGCTTGACCGACATGGCTCCCAGTCACAGAGTCTGCTGGCTCCTGAAAAACACAAAAGCAGATGAGGCCAAACCTTCCTGGCAGCTCTCCTACTGCTGCTGCTGCAAGCCGTGAGCTGCATGGAAGTGGAAAGTCAAAACAACAGGCAGCAGAATAAATGGGAAAAAAAGACTTGTCTGCAATTCACGTTTCCTGTGTTGCCATCCACGGTGCAATTAATAAGGGATTGAGCAGTCTAAAATGAAATCTCTCATGCCCTCTTCGATTTCTGATGGATTTTACAAACTCACTATGCAAAAGCCAGAATAGCCTCAACTCGGGGGCTCTCTACATTTCTGACTTTTTAAGAACCCTGTAATTGTCCCAGTGCTTCAGGAGCGCAGGCCAACCTGCACATTTCCAAACCAGTGGCGATGCCAGAACAATACTTCAGCTCCAGACTCCGTCAGGTCCAAAAAGCAGCTCCTTGCATCTGTGCAGAGCCACTCTGCAGTCACTGGTAGAATTGGCTGTGTGGTGCTTAAGCCCAAGGCAGAAGTCTGATTTCAACAGTAAATTTCAGGTTCATGCTCCTCCTCTGGCAGGGTTTCTCTTGGATTGCTCTCTTGTTTTCCATCAGTCAAACCCTTTTGCTTTTTGGAGAATTGTGTTCTCTGCCATATGTCCATAGAATCCAAGTCCCAATATAAGTAACAGACATATCCCTCAAAGCAGCTGTAGAAAATCACCCAGACAGTTCATATACAGAAAAATTCCCTTCCTTTCCCCCTCAAGCTGGTGTAATGTAAACACCACAAGTGAGTAAATCTGGGTATAACAAAAGGCTGGAGGATGTGTTTGGAGGGAGAAGTACAAACTCCAAGCAGGAGCTATGAATGCTCCATGCAGAAGTTTGTCCCACATTACAGAATGTGCTCTGAAGAACACTTCTAATCCATCAGAGTGGATGCTGGACAAGAGCTCTGTGCTCAGAGCCTGGCATTATCCCTCCAGCATGGCATTACCCAGCCTGCAAGCCCAGAAATGTCTGTGTGAGGCTCCTGGCTCTGCCCCTAGCTTGGAGAGCCACCTCCTCCCTGCCTGCAAAGAGCTGGATGGTTCCATACATCCCAAGAGGAAGGGGATTTGAGAGCATTTTGCTAATTCTGGGCTAGTCTACGAGCACAGGGGATTACTGCCAGTGAGCAGGCTTTAGGTACCATCACCTCCCAAGGCAGGAGCAAAGCTGTCCTGGATTTCCAGGAGCAGAGATCCTGCAGGGATCCTGCCTGCTCAGAAGCCTCTCAGCCATTCCCTGGGCTGGTCTCAGCTCCCATCTCCCTGCCTGTTCTGTGCCAAGCTCAGCAACACACCTGGGAAATCCAGGCAGAAGGTGGAGAGCAAGATGTGACAATGATAAATCCAACAGACAGCTGCTGTGCAAGGTCTCCAGGGAGGTGCTGGCCATGGCCAGGTGTTCCTCTGCCCAGAGAAGCAAAGTCCACAGCACTCCACAGCCTCAGGAGGATCCACAGAAACCTGACATGGAAAATTCAGGTGCCTCTTCCCCAGCTCTTAAACCATACAGCACTTACATTGCCTTGCTTTGGAAAGATCCTCCTTAACACCCTTCATTAGAGCTCAGACTTGCATCATATCACAGCTGAAGTTTCAAAATATTTTCCATTCTTCCCTCTAGTTTTCAGATGTTTGTGAGTCTCTGAACTGTCACCCCATCAAAAGGATCATTAGCCTGAAGAAAGCATGCAACTTACTGAAAAAATGTAATTGCATAACAGGCTGTCAAAGGAAGAAATAAAAGGAATAGCCTTGTGGTTATTGACCACATCCCTCATCAAGGCTAAGCCAGATTCCCAGGATCTATTTTTCAGCTCTTTAACCTGGGAAACTCAGTTCATGGGTATAAGGAAGGAGGAAAGTGCAGGAGCAGCTGCTCTAAAGCTGCCTAATGTGACACTGAAAGCCTTTGCAGGACAGAGATAAGGAACAAACACAACCAGACCCTTGGCAGGGAACAGAAAGTGGAAAATTATGAGAAGAGTCCTGAAGTAAAATCTGTGGGACTGAACTCTAGATGTGAAGGACAATGTGGGAAATGTTCACACCCCCAGAACTCCTGAATTGCCCAGATTGCCTGGACCTGACCATGTGTGTTTACAAACCCACTGTAATTCTGGATTTCCAGGGGAAAATTTCCACTGTTGGAATTCAGTGGAAGTCAGATTTGCCTTGAGGGCATGGCCAGAAGCATTTCAGCCCCTCTGGGGTCATTTGATTTTTGCTGCTGCCCAAACTCTGTCCCCAAGGCCACTGACCCTGCCCTGCTCTAATGCACTGCTCCTCTCAAAAGCAACTCACAGGCACATCCTCCCAGCTCCCTAAGAATGAAGAGAATTGAAATAAAACACCATTCAAGGGCTTATTGCTTCAAAATAATGCCAACAAAGTCAATGCCTCTCGATACACCCCTGCATATGGATTTTTTGTTGTGACCCAGAAACCTTATGGCTCATTTCACACTCCTGAGCAGAAGAACATGAGTTGAATGTCAATAAAACATTTTATTTATAAGAAAGACTTACAAATGCAGTTGTTTAAACAGAGGGTTTGCTAGCTGGAGTGTCTCTATAAAAGTGCTGAGCTACACAAGTGGCCCTGAGAGAAAGTATCTGGACACATCTCAAATTCTACCCTCCCCGTAGGGCAGAAATAAATCAGATAAAGACCCTGACAAAGCTCAGTCCAAATCTGCCTTCCAACCTGTGAGCTCTGCTGTGCAGGCCAGTGTGTCCAGCTCTCACCAAACCAGGGATTATGCCCTGGGGAGCAGAGGAGCTTCCCCCCTTTTGCTGCTCCCCAGAAACAGGAGTGTGAATTCAGCAGGGCAGCACAGGCAGAGCACAAAAACAGCAGGACAAAATAAAGGAGTCTATTGCCAGGGGCAACTGCAACACCAAACTGCTGGGAAAAGCAGAGTCTTTTAAAGCTTGTGGGTCTTGGGCAGAGCTCCCCTTTGCCAGGGACTCGCTGGCTGTGATGCTTTAATTCGGGTGATTTGTCCAGCTGAGACCTCAGGCCTCAGAAGTGCATCCTTAAGTCAAGACACAATTTATTTTAGATGAAATGAGCAGGTTTGTTTGGCCCTGCTTCAGGGGTCCATCTGCCATGAGAGATTTTGGTGTTTCAGCCCTGGTGTGACCCAGTGTCCAGGTGGGCTGGGGCTCCTGTGAGCAGCCAGGACACACAGACGGCACCTTCTGCTCCCTCTCGCTGAGGCTGAGGATGTTCCTCCAGCCAAACCACCTCCACCTTCTACAAACAAAATAATGCTGTCTGTTTGTGTTTATGGCTAAACTTTTCCAGCCCTACTCACATCTTTAATTGTTTCTGGGCACAATGGTTTCAACAATTTTATGAGGAAAATATGACTCACCGACTTGCAAAACGTTTCTGCTCGTGTTTTGTGCTTTAAATTAGTGGCCATGTTTTTGTGTTAGCATCTCTGAGATGTCCACTGCCTAAACCCCTGCTAGAGGAAAGAATTCATGCTCCCCTAAAGTTTGTAGTGTTCCAGCTGGGGATGGGCAGTGGGTAGGAGACACTTTCTCCTGGCTGTGTTTCTGCACAAACTGCAGCAGCTCCTGCTTCCCCAGCTGTTTGTGGCTCTGGCAGCCTGGAGGGCTCCAGAGCTCACCAGGGCACCCACCAGAGCTGGGCTGGAACCAAGGACTGTCCCTGCAGAGAGCAAACACAGTCACTGCCACACATCACTGCTCACAGCTTCTGAGGCTGTGGAAATGTGCCCAGCACAATTTCCTTCCACTGCCTGGTGCAAACCTTCTGCTTTCAGGCCCTGTTATTTTATTCATCATTTCACTCACAAATACCACACCCACTTCACTTGGAAAGACAAGAGAGACATTTTATCTTCCAGTTCTGGGATCCAAACAGAGTTAATCTCATTTGGTATTATCACAACATAATGGGGCTTAATTCACTATCTGGGAAGCTCAACAGTTCACTGGAGGGACTGGAGCCCTCCTGCTAAAATCTGGGGCTCAGATTTGTGCCTGTCAGGAGACTCCCTGGTGGATTTGTGCACAGCAGAACACATGAGTTTATTGCAGAGTTGCCACCCAGAATTTGTCTTTTATATCATGGTTTTATAAAATTCACTTCATGACAGCCAAGCCAAGGTGGCTGTGCAGGCTCTGCATCACTCTGCTGAAACTCAGCTTTCACTGCACAGGACCAAAATCAGCAGAGATTCAGACCATGAACATTCAGGGTGTTCAGAGACCTTCTCTGGACTCTAGGAACGAGCTGTGATTCCAGCTAATCACCAGCTGTTTAAAAAATAAGTCAGCCAAAGCTGCAAGGTTTTCATTCTGCTCCCTTGAATG